GAAAGGACAGTGTGGGGCTTTCAATCCTTGTCTGTGCACAGGTATGCATGAGGGAGGTACAGACCTTGTAAGCTGTCCAACATCAGAAAATTTGTGGCGAAACAGGTCGTGCCCGGTATTGCCATGACTGCACCATTCGAGGCGAGCAGGAGGTCCAGCACCTTCGTGTGGTTGATGAAAAACTTTGCCACCTCCCACACCCTCTTCAGCACGTCACTAATCCAACTCTGTTTTTGAAAATGCCTGCAAAATCAAATCTCTGCTGTGCGCAGTGCACGGCACGAAGAAAATGTGCAGGAAATCCGTCTCAATCAACTGTCCGGGATGTGTGCATACAGCTGCATTGTCCAGTACAATACCCACCACTGCATCTTCACCAATCTCCGTGATGGCCTTCCTCAAAATCTCTCTTAGTACACGTCCGATCCTTTGTCATGCCTGGACATGCATACACTCCGCCAAAATATTGCCCCCTCCAGAAAATAGACCATCACATTGATGTGTGGCCTTGCAAACCGGTCGGCCCACCCATCGAATTGCAGCAAGAAACCAGTGGTGGGCCACTGCTGCTGCAGCTCCTCTACTCCTGCCAGAACCCTATGCCGGGTTGTCTGCACTCGCACTGTCCGTACCTTCTCATCCTTCGTGTATTGAAATGAGGCTGGCGCCTTCATCAGTTTTTTCACCATGCTATCCCAGTATGTGCTCCTTGTCAGGTTAAATGGGATGCACTCTGAGGTCATCTAGTCATCCATTGAGCGGGATGCGATCTAAGTGTCCTCGCGGGTTGCGAACATGGCGCCGCTGTCCATGATGGTAGTCTGGAGCAAACGTGTTCCGGACCCAGACTCAGAGGCAGCCGCTGGACATTCTGGAGTGGCGTACCCCGGCGTGATCTCATCCTCCTCTGAATTCTCCTCCATGGCTGCACTGCTCCCCCCCCAAGTTCTGCCAAGGCGGCCAGTCTCCCTCTCTCCCTCCGCAGGAATTCCTCTCTCGGCAGGGTTCCTTTCAACCGGTGGACGTGGCACCTGAACTTCAGCCTCTCTCCCTCCGCAGGAATTCCTCTCCCAGCAGGGTTCCTTTCAAGTGGTGGATGTGGCACCTGGACTTTAGGAAATGGTCTCTCGCCCCGCTGGCTGTCCCATTGACTGTCCTGTCACAATACTTGCACTGTCTATTCCTGTTCCCTTTTTTGGGTTTCCCCGCGAATCCCAAGTCTATGAAGTGCTTTTTCAAGGCCTCACTACCTCACTACTGTACTTTGGCATTCTGCAAACAGATGAAATCTAACCAAGAACACGTTCATTGTCGGAGTCGGGCCATTCTCTCACATGGCCCACCGCTGTGCCCAGGTAAGTGCAGAACTGGCCAGCCCCGTCTGTACTATTTTTCAACTCGCGTACATAGCGAGAAGATTGTTCCCGCCTGGGGTTCTTTACTGACGGTGAGGTACTTGCATTCCCCCATAGGGCTGGCCTGCCCGACACCACCTCTAATGTGCAGCAAGAGCATACAAAGTACACAAGCAGCAGCATTCGTGCTCTACTCCTATGGGTTGGTATGGTGACCGTGACCCGTGTTTCATCCAGGGCCTTTCAGACAGCTTCACCCTCTCCCACCAGCATCATCCCCAGGAAGAATGTCCACTCTCAAGGTAGAGCGCTCACGACTCCTCACAATGAGAGGACTCTCAAGACCGGACACACTTCCTCACGGTAAGAAGAGTTGAGGAGGGTAGATAAGGTAAGGAGCAACACCTTGATGCCCTCGACCACATGTTTCTCACCAGTTGACCTGACATACATTTATGATCACCGGTTGTTGCCTCGGCACAACCCACGGTACAATGCAGTTCCACCTTGGCTTAAATGCCATATCAGCGAGTTCCCATCACACAGCATACGCCCCTATGTCACCAAATAGCCTTTCAGGCACGCCCACACAACACTGGGCCACCAATCATTCCAGCGCCATAGCAATATTGCTGCTTTGCATGCTCACGGCACAGCACCAATCAACCAATGCGCTGGAGCCAGTGGAGCGGCGCGAACCAGCTCTGATACCAACGTGCAAGTAAAACGAGCAAGAGCGAAATGACAGAATTCCAAATTGCAACATCACATTCAAAGCAAGATAGTCGTGAGCTGTCCAGAAAGCAGAAATGCACCAACATGGCCTGACTATGGCTGATGTGCAATACTGTTCCCTGAACACTCAACACCTCCAGTGCCCGCGTGTGCCCAGGCCCTCGGCTCGCGGCTTACCAGCGCACAGAATGGCAGCGCTGCGGAAATGCACAAAGTTCCCGAATGAATGAGGGTCAGGCAGACACTTTCCTATATGGAAAGTGCTTGCCTGCACTGGCGGCCTGGGCCTGGCGTCCGCGTGCACAGTAGGTTCACGTTGGGCCAAAGTGTCTCCGCCCAGGTCCAATTCAGATAGCGGCGTGGGACCAACTGCATGACGTGGCCTGTGTTACTCGCTGCATTCTGATACGCCGAAAGTCCTAGAAGGATCACACTTCCACAGTTGCATAGCATGCAGGGTCCTTCAGCCAACTGCCGCCCAGTAACTGTCTGGCGCCCCCCAAAGCCCTGGAAATGTCAAACTTACGCCTCTTGGAGAAATGCAGCCCCCTCAAGAGCCTGCCGAGGACAAAAATCCTCGCGCTAGCACTTTCCTAAATGTACAAGACTGCAATTACGGGCAGGACCGAGATGCATCTGACCGTAATCACGTCCAGAACGAAGTCAAACATGTCATAGTGTGAGTATTCCCTGATTCCATCTGAATGGCTAATAAATCAATCATCCTGGATTCCCAATTGAACTTTTCTGAGGCCAGATTCACATGAGGACTTTCCTGGATGTATTTGTCCTCTTTTAGGCTCAGGGATGGATGCACTTGACTGCAATCATGTCCACAGAGAAGTGTGAAAAAGTCCCTGTGTGAGTGAGTATTCCCTTATATATAGTTCTATGTGGTTGCACAGCCAATTGCTTGGAGTGAAGATCAAAGTTGCTCTCTTCTGTCCTGCATCGTAGTTGTTTATTTGTTTCTTTCTTTCTTTTTTTTAATTACTGTTTCACTTTGAGGGTGTCGAGTATTGGAACATGTGCCTTCGCTGATGCCTCAGGCATCCTTTTTGTCCAAGAAGAGAGAGGGAAATGCATTTAGAAGCTAGAAAATCATTTGAGAGGGGGAAGCAGACGAGTAGGGGAGTGTATCTCCTCCTCAATGTCACCCTCTTTGAATTGCAGCCTAGGAGATGAACCATAGTTGCGTTATAAGTGCGCAGTGCGGTGCGGGGCGGTGCGCAGTGTGCTGTGCGCTGGAACGACAGCGCGTGCACTGTGCGCCGTGCGCCGTGCGCTGTGCGCGGTGCGTGCGCTGAGG